TAAAGAAACGATTTCATTTCAGAACAATTTCATTTTTGTTGTTCAGTGGAAAAATTGAAGGTTATCTTCTCTCGATTCACGTTGTCTCGAACGGTCGGGAACCGTGTTTCTCTTATCTGTTCGATTGTTACTTATGTATAACGATTTTGCAAATTTCATCGAGTCTACGTCACGAGAAATTCTTTATACCGTGTTCTTCACACAAATTTCGATAGAATTGTTAATTAGAGTTGGAGAAACGTCTATGGTAATGGATATAAGCTGAAAAATATTTATTGTTATTGTTTCATGCGTATCGCCTTTTCATGAAATTGAATTCGTCCTTTTCAAATTCAAGGAAACTTGGTTGCTTTGCAATAAAAAAAATTAAATCAATTATAATAATTGATTTTATCATATAAATATATGCAAATTGATTCATTAGGAAATTTATTTAAGAAATATGACGATGAAAGATATATCTATTCAAATTAATCTTTCCAGAAATCAATAATATATAATATAATCATGTTTGATCAAAAATTGTTATCGAAATATAAAATAGTCTATTTTTTCTTCTATTTATATTGATTATATATTCAATTTTCGAGATATTTTTTTGTCAAAAAAAAATAAAATATTTAAATCATATTTATACTTACCTATTTTTACTTACTTTTCATGCAAAATGATTCTAATTTTATCAAAACAATTTTTTTTTAAATTTTTCAGTTTTTGTATAAACGCTATATGTATATGAAAATTTGCTAATTATAATATTAAAGAAGAAGATGATATTTTGTAAATATTTGTAAATTTTACTAAGAGGAACATAAATCGTATTTAGTTAAATGTAATAATAATTAAATATAATATAAATATTACTTTGTTTACATTGATTAAAATTTTTATCCCGCATCAAGCAACAATATACATATTTATGCAATACAATGTGCCTGTAATACGAAAACTTGAAACCCAGATAAGATTTCAGTATACTTGAGAATATACTTTGCGCTCATCAGATAACAAAGCAATAAATCATTCTCGGGGTTAGCTTGCATTTTAATCTTTGAATTTAACTTTCAATTTAGAAGAGATTTAGATTTAAAAACCAATTAATCAAATTTCAATATAGATAATAAATATTTTTAATTTTCATTCTTTTTCGTTTTATTGTTCATATTTGAATATAACAAGTTTATTAATTATTCGAATATTTTTATGTATATTTTTTTTATTATTGTTTTCATCATCATTAATTTTATACATAATCTAAACTATATGGAATCGTAATTATTAATTTCAAAATTAAATAAATGTACTTACATTGTGTGTGAATATTTTATAATATAGAAAAGAAATGAGTGAAATGTATATAAATATATAAAAATTAAAAATTATTTTTTAATATGAATCAATATTAAATTGTAATTTTATGTATTATATATAATTTTTCAAGAAATATAATTGATCATTAAAAGAAGAAAAGGTTATAAAAACAAATGTTAGCTTTCTTTTTTGCGGAATTCCCTTGAAGCAATAATTATTTTAAAAAAATTTCTCAACACAATATTTAATGTGAATATACAATTCAGCGTGACTTTTAAACAATATAAAAACATATTCGCATATTTTCACAGCTTGACGTCCTTAAAAACAAATATCTTTACTCCTTTTCTTTTTTGCTTTCTGGTTTTTTTCTTGAACTAAATTCATCACGACATTTATAAAAATACTGACATATTTTTTGGGAATTTTATCTGTCTCCGTTTGTTATCAATTATTTTGAAGCCATGAATGCGATGGAAAAAGAATCACGTTTCTTTTGTCTATGACGTTATTATATAGAAAAAAAAAATTATTCTTGTTCGTCGAAATCGCTATGATAGATTTTAAAACTTTTATATTGTTATTTCAATAAATAAGAAAATGTATTAGTGCATTTCTTTTTTTCGACACGAAATATTTTATTTTCAATAATTTAATTTACTTTACATGATTAATTAATATTTTAGCTTATCATTATATTATTCATTTTAAAATAATAATTTATTTATTATATTAATCTAATTATTTATCTATGTAAATATTTTTTATATTTCCTAATTGTAATTGTATCTACATCTCTCGATTTATATCGTCGTATATGCATATATAGTGCATATAAAAATTCTTTCATGCTCGAGCATGTGATCTGCAATTTTCACGATTTATCATCTCGAGTAATTTTAGCTGTAATGAGTTGCACGTGTTCCATTAATGTCGATGAAGAATAATAATCCGAAAAGCAATCAATTTTTCTTTTCGTTTTATCTTTAAAATGTCATTAAACGATTATATATTGGGTCTCACTTAATACAAGTCAACAATTGGTCTGAATTATCTATTAGGATTATCTAAATATATAATCGAATAGAATCGTAGGTAATTTCCATTTTATTTGCATAAATCGAATGGAATGGAAAAATTTGAAAAGAATTATCATTAAATACAATTTGATATTAAAAAAAGAATATAATATATCTGAAATTTTTAATATTATTAAATTTATAATATTTTTTAAGTTTATATCACTTGAATTTTTATTATACTTTTATTATTTGATAGTCGTTTTTTTTTTCCAAAATATTTGCGAAATTTTTGAATTAGTTAGACTTTATCTCTGTTGAAAAAATGATTTTTATGCAGATACATAACACATTTTGAAGTATAGTTATATTATTTTATTTCGATAAAATTTTTTGCAAATTTCTTGAAAAATTTTTTCTTTTGTACGTTTTTGCTACCATAATTTGAGATTCTTCTTTATATATAGGTATGATAAAGGTATTTTTGAATCAATGTTAATTATAAGAAAAAAACGGATAAGAAAAAAATAATTATTTATAAGTATTTAAATATAGTATTACTGTAAAACTTTAAAAATTATATATATTATTGTTGTATAATTAATGTTTTTAGTCACTTAAAAAAGAAATTTGAATTCTAATTTTTTTCGATGTTGATTATAATGATATTTCATTTGCTTTTTTCGATTTTTTTTTTTTTTTTACAGAGAGATAAGTTTTAACATGAAAATTTAATCTGCGTCAAAACTGCTTATTCTACCTTGAAGATAGTAACATTACACTGAAACAGGGATATTGAAATTTCTTCATATACATTTTCGAGCTCTTGTTTTTTCTTCTTTTTTTTTTTTATTAAATATTATGTCTCTTTGATTGTTATTAACAAAAATTGAATGAAATTAGAATTTTGTGTTACAGTTGTATATGTTGGTTCCGAATTGTGAACTTATATGTATGTAACGAATAAATATTGTATTATGCCCGAAAAAATGATAATTATCGAGCAAATATATTAGACAAACGATTCACACGTGATATTTCTTTGCTCACACGATTATCACTGAAAATGAGAGTCAATGAAGTTTACATTTGTTGAAATGACATTCGTTTCGAATCCACGCATGCGCAACGATCTGCACAATTTTAAGCTCTTCCTAACCTGACTGCTTTAATTTTCCAGCTATATTTAGATATATATTGTTTTTGTGTGGCAGTAGGTAATAAAAGTGATTGCAACTGGTGATTTACCGGCATTAATCTTACAGCTTATATACATACGTTACGAACGAATGAGTACTTGCCGAATGGAACATAATACTTCTTACATTTTAAAATAAATTCTATCGATGTCAATTTAGCCATGCATAAATTGTGCGACCGTGAATAACGAATTATGTCAAAATGTCTATCTTTATGATATGTAGAACAAAGCAATTTTAACTTGAAGATTTACGGTAGAGTTAATTATTTGCATAACTCAAACAAGATTATATCTTTATAATTATTTTCTTTTATTTTTTAATATCAATGTTAATTTTCTTTTTTCTAAATAAAATCATATGAAGAATTAAAAAAAATGTATAAAAAAGGATGATATTAAAGATTTAAAAAACGAATTCAAAAATTTATTATAAACAAAAATAAAAAAAAGAATAAATTATTTCTGAACTTTATTTATTTTCTGATAAAATATAGATAGAAATCAGCATCTTTTAAGAATACATAATCACTACGAAAAAAATAATATTCGATTATGCATCTTTGTATATTTTTTTCTTACGAAATGAGCAACTTTCATTTTTATTATATTTTATATTTTGTTTTTTTTTTTTTAAATTTAAATAATTCATTTGAGATGTTTGAATTTTTCTATGAAGTCTACTTTTTTTCGAAAGGCCATAAATCATGCGAATCAGAAATCGGAATTTTTTTCTTTTTCATTAACAGAGAAATGATGGATGATTGAATAGCGGGGCTGGCCCATTTTTGATCAAAACTTTTTAAAAATCCTGAATTGTGATGTCAAACGATTATATCCTTTTTAAATGATTATAGCCGCATACATTTATTTTTAATACTAAAATTTAAAATCTATAACTTTTTCTTTGTTTCATTTTGAACAATCCATTTATCGATATGTATATTTTAAGAAAAGGAAAATATTTAATTCGTCTCTGTAACTATATCATATAATCTAAACAAGTTTAGTTTGTTTTTAATAAATATTATTTTAATATGAAATAATAACGAAAGATTTGTATTTTTCATAAGTGGTATGCATTTTTTATAAATTTTCAAATTATTTATTAATGAATTACATATTAGCGTTATCTAATAAAATTAAATTTCGTTATTTATACGAATTACAAGTTCTTGAATTTCTTGATCTTTTAATACTATTTTTTGAATACGATTATTACATTGCTCAAATATTATAAATCAGACATCTTAGGAAAATTATTAGAGATCGTAAATTATTTTACTTAAATGCATCATTCGATGACGATAATTACGATTATTTAATTATAATTGCTCTATGATTTCCTGATTATATGATCTAACTATGTAGAAACTTGAATAGGAATGATCTTAAGTATCAATTACGAGAAATACTTTATTCTTTTATTATGAAATGTTTTTCACTTCTTTGAAGGAATTATATATTTTTAGCTCTTATTAAAATCTTGATAGAACTATTTTCAAAAGTGGAAGAAGATATTAAATTAAACATTTACGATCACGATCACATTTGGCTGTCAATGTAACAATAATCGAGCACAAGGTACGTATAGTTCTTATCCCGTGCACTGCACAGATATTTCTATAGCACGTGTCTACGGGAAAATCCGTTAAGTCTAAATATAAGTTGACGGTAACACCTCGTTGTCATATTACATACATATTGAGGTTATGCGTGATATTGTAAAAAAAAAATTTGACCTATTTTTCGATTCCGATTTCTCTTTCATTTAATTTCATTCATTCCTATTATCGTTCAACTACCAATAACAAGCGAATTGCAATTTTTTTTTTTATTAAAATACATATTTATATAATTGAAAAATAAAAATAAAAAACGAGGAATGTTACAAACAGTTTTATTAAAAAATTTAAACTTCAATACTTTAATTCACATAGTAAAGAAACATTGGGCAAATAATTTAATTGATCAATGAAATAATAATTAAATGAATAATTTGATTGATAATGAAATAATTATTTTACGATAATTTTGCGAAGACGAAAAATCATGAATGTAGACATTCGTTTTATTTTTCAGTTGACCTTTGTAATATCGCAATTTTGAATAATAGAAATCTAATTAACATAAATTCTTCTTCTTATCGTTTCAGAATTGTGTAATATCTATTATACATGAATGGTTGGAGATTTGCCAGACATCGTCGGAGAAGGATCGATTTCAGATCTAGGAGATCTAAAAGGATGGTGGAATAACCACGCTATAGTAGCCTGGAGCTTTGTCCTTTTCGGCTGTTTCTTACTAAATGTCACGCTTCTATTGGCATTCCTTATACGTCCGTCATTACGGACTATTTCCAACAGGTTTGCTTCTATTTTACCATTATATATAATTATTATTAAATATATTGATGCACATATTATTATGCATAATTTTTTTAATATTTTGATAAATATATTATATCTGTTTTCAGATTTGTCATGAATTTAACAGTATCGAACCTGTTGGTATGCGCCATCATGAACCCACTGTTAATTATGGACGCCGCTTCGACATCGTCCTCTTTCATAGTCGAATCTCAATCCATTGGAAGTATCTGCGCGATATCAGAAGGTGCTGTGGCTATCGTTACCACGTCTTCAGTCTTCTCGGTCCTATTGATCGCTGTGGATCAATACTTCGCCGTGGTAGATCCTCTCCGTTACCGAGCTCGCGTGGACAAACTGAAATCTGGAATATTGATTATTTCAACCTGGTTCATCTCCATAATTTTTGGCTTCCTCGCTTTTTTTAATCCGAACCCTCAAAGTTTCTGGCAATCTTGCATATCCAGAAACAAAAATTTATCTTCCAACATTTCTTTCGATTTCCTGACAGAATCGACAGTATTGAATAACAACACCAGCGAATTGAATATCAATGGAATTTCTGAAATAGTGGAAACTGTCAAGTCTATCAGACTCGACGGCAATATGGATCTCATAGAAAATAGTACTACTGTGATCTTTGATACGCTTACAAGTGATACAATTACTTACGGCTTTGTCTATGCCATCGTGTATAGTATATTCGCTTATTTCATCCCATTCGTTGCTGTTTGCTGGATTTATGTTAGCATCTACGTGGCAGCACATAGAAATTCGGAAAGGACTAGAAAAAGTGGATCTAGACCTATATTATCGTCATCCAGTTTCACGGAAGATCAAAATGGCCCACCTAGGCTTCAACGTCTTCAGGCGGACACCATTGAAGATTTTCGCAAATTGCCGAAAATATCGAGTTTATCGTCGATAGATGAGACAAGCGAAACTATGCAACCGACTGGTCAATTATCTCGAAGGCGATCATTTTCGTCTTCCATGGATATAGAAGAATCTTCTCCTCCTTTAGAGGAGAAGACATCCTCGGGCATTGTCTTCACGGTCGATTTACAAAGAGTTGAAGTGACTCAATTCACAAACGGTGAAGAAAATTGTAAGAATGATAATTTGTACAGTGATTTAGCGATTGAGAAAAATATCGATCAAAATAAGTATCGGGAGCAAGATCTGCAATCGGAGAAAAACGACATATCATCGAAAGATTTGAAAGAAAATGAACAAGTGTCGGATAATTGGATGTCAAGAGGTTTGGATGTCGAGGAAAGCAATGAACCTGAAAACGAAGTTCGTTTCGATTATTTCGATAATTTAAACGTTCATGATAACAAGTTTTCCTTAGCTCTCTGTGATGATGACAATTCATTAAAATCATTGAAAATTTCCCAAATCGTGGAAGGAGAAGAAAATTTAAATAACGAAGTCAAAGAAAATGAGCTAAAAGTAATTCATGAAATTAGTGATCGAAAAGAAGAACATATATTACAAGATATAGACGATGACTTGACAAGTCAATTATCAAACCAAGGAGATTTTAAAATATCACCGAGTCCTTCAGAAGTGAGACCAAACCGTAGGTTATCGACGTTCTTTAATACAGACACTTTGCAGAACACACGTGAAGATGGTATCAAGACTGAGAAAGATAATAACGGTAGCAATGTTATTATAGAATCGTCCTCGTGTCTGCTGACGCCAATAGTGACGATTACACCGGCTCCAAGTAAAAACGATAACTTGCATCGTGTGTCAAGTGTGAAGAGTACCTCGAGCTACATAAATTCGTTGAAAGACCGGATAAGCAATGGTTCTATATTTAGGCACAGAGAAGAGACCAGAGCAGCGCGAATAAGCGCTCTGGTGATCGTGATGGGTCTGACCTGTTGGTCGCCATATGTAATATTGTTGGTAATGAAAAATTTACCTCGGTATACTGACCAACATTTGTCTCATAAATATGACGTACTGGCCTCCAGTTTCTTGATTCTGGCCGCCTATATTAGCCCGTTGTTATTCGGATATAGATCAAAACGAGTGAAACGTGAGTTGAGGAGGTTCTTCTGTTTCAGGAGAGAATTATCCTATAAAAATAATCGAAGTTTAATGGCCAAGAAGGTGTTGAAAAGACGGCACAGTAGCAATCTTAGTCATTTCGAGGTGGATCATAAATACAATATATTCAATTGTATGTACGGAAGGAATCGATGGCCGAAGGAAAAGGTTCAATTTGTTCAAGTACCGGACACAGCGTTGGTTGTAGAAACTTGTAGGAGCAGTTTCTCCAGTGGAGCAAGTACTCAGATTTCGAGCACTTCGACGGAGGAATGTTGACACGTATCCATGACGTTCCTGAAAGTTTGATGTTCGTTTGAAAAGTAGTTTATTAGTAATGTCTTTTATAAAGTACTTAATTCGCAATTATAATTATATATCTTTTTAAAGTTGTTTTTTTTGTGAAACAATTTCAGAGACGTTGATAGATAGAGACTGAACAAAAAACATTAATTATATAAGATTAAGGTTAAAGAAAATGGTCAAATAATATAAAAATATGTAGAGTTCGTTAAACAATTTTCTAGAGGAATTTTCTTAAAGGAAATGGGCAAAATGAGGTTCTATTAAGTTTTAATTTTTCATTTTTCTTTTTAAATTTTTTGTAAATAAAATAATAAAATTTCTTTTTACTTTTTCTTTCAACAAAAATTTTGAGAATAATGTGATAACTGTAATAGACATTTTCGTTTTGTTTATTTTAATGTATACTATGTATCTTCAGATTATTTGACTTATTTTTTTTTTAAATCTTGCAATATAATTATACAAGATAATGTTTTATTAATTCCTGTAACGAAAATTTTAAATAATCACAATAAGACAAGAAATATGTCAAGGATCGTGAATTGAATACACAGATAAATTTGTGTAAGACAAACCGTTATGTTTGTTTCATCAACTTTTCATTTCATTTTTAAGATGAGATATTAGTATTATACATATATGTATAAGTTATTTGATATATACGTAACATTGAATTACATAATTTATAGAATTAAATTAATAATATTATCGATGAGGCTGTATCAAAGATAAATAGATTCTTTTTTTATTCAAGTGGCGACATAATTTTCGTCACGATATCCGTAAAATAATACGTGCAATTTCATGCATCATTGTGTTCGCATAAACAATTACTAGAATATAGTAATAGTTATAATAGAAATAATGCTTATAGATTACAATAGAGGCCATAAGTATTGATTGATCTAGTCGATTTAAATCTACTAGAATAACAGTATAACAAGTTCCAAATAAGTAACTTTTTATTTCTCAATTAAGCGAATTATGCTTCATTTGTTTTTTTATCTAATTGTAAATAGATTATTATTTATTTGCTATAAATTTTTCACTTATATATAAGTCGTAATAGACATCTAACAATAATTTTGTCCATATTAAATTTACAATGTATTTAAAATTTGAAATTTCTCTATAAACTTAAAATCACATTATAACTTCGGATTGATTCGATACGATTGGTTAACCAATATCCATGAACTTCGGTGTAATATGCATGAGTGTAAAAAAATATACTTGTGGTCTCTACTTGATTATTGGATCGTATAATTGAATTATTTCACACCAAGACGACATGCGTGACGACAATATTATCACGTGAGTGACGATATCGTACGATGCGCAAAACATTACATTACTTTTGCGCATTGAACAACATTTCATGTGAAATATTTGGCGCGATTTAGTGGAGAACTATTTCAACGACACTTGAGCGTATAACACTTGAACTATTTATTATTGATAAATTTTTCAAAGTATTTTCGTAAATAAATATATGTATATAAAATATATATATATATATATATATATATATATATAATAA